GTAATCGGCGTGCTTGGTGAACTATCCTTTCATCCGCGACCTGGAAGCTTACTGTTCCTGGGTCGCCCTACACCATGTCGTCCGAGGGGCAAAAATGTATCAGGGTTTATACAAGATTATGCCCACTGCCAGGGTCTTCGTCCAGTTTGGTTGCTGGGTGAAATGTGCCTCCGCCAATTAAATGCACGACCCCGCATGAGGTGGCCGGTTCCTCATTTCCAAAATTAATTAAATCCCGTGCAGGTGTCAGATGCCGGAGCAATTTCGTCGGGGGACTGGCTATGTCTAACTTTGGAAGGCCTGCTGAAGCTCTTGTGCACTTGCAATTTTGCCATACAACCAGACGTAGTAGTCTTCCAGAATCGCTTGGTGTAGATCTGGGGTGACTGACAGTGCACATCACGTCTGTGAGGCAGCCTTGTCAGGTTTTCAACAACTGGAACTCGGGCTGAACCGAGCCGTCTCAGGGGACAGAGGATTCGGTGCACGACAATCATCTCGGCTTGTCGGGAAGATGACAACCAATCGCCGAAATACTCACCAATAGCAGCGGTGGTAAACAGGCTAATTTCACTAGACGCCAAGAGTGAGACATTTTATCCTTTCACATGCACGCCAAGCCTGCGAGACACCTGATCGGATAGCCAGGGCCATTTTACCCAGAGGTCCTATATCATGGATAGCAGGCACGAAAATGCCGAGAAGGAGGGGTGCGTCGGTTACTAGCGCTCAGGATTCAGGCAGTCGACTCACTCCTGCTCTTGTGCAAAGAGAGGAGGAGTGAGGAGTCGTAATTCCAAGCGACGAGGGGTAGGCTAGTGGCGAAGGACCGGAGGATGTTACCTCGCGACGGCCTTGCCGTATTATGGGGGTCGCTTAAGAAGGTGGGCGCCCGGACCGTCTTGAAGGCCGCAACCAAGCCGGCAAAGAAAGGTGAAGTGGTCACTGGAGAGTTGGTGACGGGCGATCGTTTTATCTGGAGATCTTGAGAGCTGTCAGGTACTATCTTCGGACGATAAAGAACGACTCTCACCGGAGGACGATTCCAAAATAGTGTGCGGAGCACCCGCCGTGCCATAATGGGTAAGGTCGGAGCGAGGTGTCTCACAGTAGACACAGCGCGGTTTCGGATAGACAGTGATTTGGAGAGTATGATTGTGTTAGTCACAGAGGGATTCCTAGTTAGTGCAAATGTAAATGTTTTTGTGTACCGAGGCCAATGATAGCAGGCGATGATAGCAAGCTTCATTGTGTGGCCTTTACACGACAATGAGAGAACGAGAGAATAGTATAGACTGTGGGAGAGTTGATGGTTGATGGAGAGGAAGCGATGCCCAATTGGGAAAGGCCCCGTGCTCCGTCAGGGGATCGCCCAAAAAGGAAATGGCAGCACGTGGAGGCGGGGACTTCTCCGCATAGCTTCCCCAGGCACCCACTCTGTAAAGCCTCACCCTGGACCCTGGATGCAACTATATCCATCCCTATTGCTGTGTAGTATGTTTCAAAGGCTATGGGGTTTCTTATTTATTGAGCTCTGACTGTCCGGCTTGAAATTGGGTTGAAGCTGCAATCAATTGCCGGTTCCTGTATCAATTACCCCTCCAAGACCCCATCATGGCAGCATTCGCGCAATACACTCTGTCAACAGGGTGGTGCTTTAAAGATAGGGATGACCTTGCTTCCGACGCATGGATGCCAGTTCCTGTCGTTCCGTCTGTCGTTCACCAGGACCTACAGGCGAATGGAAAGTGCGTACTATTAGGGAATCTTTCGCGGCAAGAGTCGCTAACGTACAGACTGGATATTGTTCAGGCTGGAGAACCCATACGTGGGATTCAATGAACTAGACGCACGATGGGTCAACGACAAGTCATGGACATACCGCAAGATACTGCAAAGGCCAACTGTCCTTGCAGGATCGAGGATTGTCCTGGCATTCGATGGCCTTGATACATTTGCCAAAGTCAAACTTGATAACAGTGTTATCCTAGAAAGCAATAACATGTTTCAGGCCTATCGAGTAGACGTCACCGAGGCTCTGGATTGCGGAGATGAGCACGTTCTGGAGATTGAATTTGATTGTGCGATGCTGCGTGCCCAGGAACTTCGGAGACAGGACCCGAAACACAACTGGGCCTCTTTCAACGGGGATCCCGCGAGGATGAGCGTCAGAAAAGCTCAATATCATTGGGGCTGGGACTGGGGCCCGGTCCTCATGACGGCAGGTATCTGGAGAGCAGTGAGATTGGAAGTTTATTCCACACGGTTGGCAGATCTCTGGGCGGAGATCAATCTGGACCCCACTCACAAGAGTGCTTCTATTTCAGCATTTGCAGATCTTGACTTTGTTGATCATGAACCCCCATACAAGGTCAACTTCACGATCACTCTACATGGCAAGCAAATTGCTCAAGCAGAAGCCACACCTCAAGATGGGAGGGCAAAGGTAGAGTTCAACATAGATCAGCCTCGCCTTTGGTGGCCACACGGATATGGTGATTCCACTCTTTACGAAATTTCAGCTTCATTGGAGACCGATCAACTTGAACTCCATAGAGTTACCAAGAAGATTGGAATTAGGACTGCAGAAGTCGTGCAGCGGCCTGACAAGCACGGAAAATCATTCTTCTTCCGAATCAACGGCGTGGATATATTCTGTGGCGGGTCATGCTGGATTCCTGCAGACAACCTACTTCCCAACATTACTCCGGAGAGATATCGAAAATGGATCGAGCTGATGGTTGCCGGCCGCCAAGCCATGATTAGGTCTGTTCCCTTGCTGAAATGTAGACTTAGGACTAACAATCCCTAGGGTATGGGGCGGTGGTTGCTACGAAGACGATAGTTTCTACGAAGCTTGTGATGAGCTTGGTGTTTTAGTGTGGCAGGATTTTATGTTTGGATGTGGAAATTACCCGACCTGGCCCGAACTATTGCAATCCATTGAACAAGAGGCGATCTACAACGTCCGCCGCCTGCGCCATCATCCATCCATTGTGGTCTATGTCGGTAACAACGAAGATTACCAAGTCCAGGAACAAGCCGGTCTCGAATATAACTACGAAGATAAAAACCCCGAAAACTGGCTAAAGACAGACTTTCCCGCCCGATACATCTACGAAAAGTTGCTGCCATCAGTGGTTGAGCGCCTTTCACCGACCACGTTTTACCACCCAGGTAGCCCTTGGGGTGATGGGAAAGTAACATCAGACCCCACAGTGGGCGATATGCACCAATGGAATGGTCTGCTACATTCTATCACACTCTAATTTATACAAAAACTGACGGCTATAGTCTGGCATGGAACGCAGGAGAAATATCAGATATTCGACACGCTAGGTGGCCGATTCAATAGCGAATTCGGCATGGAGGCTTTTCCCCACATGTCAACAATTGAATACTTCGTCGAGAACGAAAAAGACAAATACCCGCAATCGCAAGTTCTCGATTTCCATAACAAGGCCGACGGACACGAACGTCGCATCGCTACTTACCTTGTTGAGAACCTGCGAACTGCTACTGATCTCGAGGTAAGTGCCTACCTACTCAAATTGACCAGCCTTGCTAACCCGTCCAACATAGACCTACATCTACCTCACCCAGGTTGTCCAAGCCGAAACAATGATGTTCGGATACCGTGGGTGGCGTCGCCAATGGGGAGACGAAAGACACTGTGGCGGTGCACTACTCTGGCAGCTGAATGATTGCTGGCCGACTATCTCATGGGCTATTGTAGACTACTTCCTGCGGCCCAAGCCCGCATACTACGCTGTAGCCCGCGTATTGAACCCAGTCGCCGTAGGTGTACGACGAGAACACCACGACTGGAGCATCACACACGCGCAACCCCCAAAGACAAGCAAGTATGAGCTCTGGGTAGTCAGCTCCTTACAGAAGACCGTATCCGGAAAGGTGGAGCTCAAATTCCTCTCCGTGGATACTGGACGAGAGATACGGGAGCGGATCGTGCGAGAAAACGTTGATATAGTGCCCAATGGCACTACAAACCTTATCACCGACGGAGTTATTGACCACACTGTTGATGCAGAACCACACGTCCTCGCTGCCAGACTGTGGGTGGATGGTGAGATTGTTGCGCGAGACGTGGATTGGCCTCAGCCTTTTAAGTATCTTGATTTTGCGGATCGTGGACTCGAGGTAAAGCGGGTTTCTGAAGCCTCTAATCAGCAGGTATTCCAGATCAGCACCGAGAGGCCCGTCAAATGTTTGGTATTCGAGGAACGGGACGGTGCCAAATTTAGCGATAGCGCGATGGATATTGTTCCTGGTGATGTTCAGACAGTCACGGTCACGGGGTTGCAGGCGGACGAGTCGTTGAAGTACAAATTCCTTGGCCAGTGATTTTACAGAAAGGGATACTTTCGAAGATTATTTCATATCATATTGTACTGTGGCAACATAAGCGCTGCATTTGAGATTAACACTCAATCGACAAATTACCATCACAAGTCGTACTAGTATGTACCTATGGACGCTTCCAGCCCGTCAGCCCATCGTCCAGATCTTCCATTCGGAAAGTTAAGTGTTCTTTCTCCAAAAATAGCAACAAAAGATCTTCTATGAGCAGTTTCACCTTGCACTATGACTAGTTTGTAGTATTGTCTACAGCCTTGTTTACCCAAACCAATCCCAGTGAAACAGGAGGACATCCGCAGCGGGTGAATGGTTGGCCGATGACGCTTAAGTTTAGGCATAAGTGACAAGAACGAGGCTCTGTTGTGGATTGGGGTGCTATCTGCCCAACTACTAGTACTTATTTACGCGCCGGGGCGAGGGTGGTAACTAAATGAACCAACCAGAACGCGTCCTGATCCCATAACCATACGTTGAGCAGCGCCTAGCCTGAGTAAACCGACCTTGCTAGTCAGTCAGCCTGATTGTGTCTAAGTAGTTAACTAGCTAGCCCCCCGCCTAGGAACTACTTGAAACCCATCACCCTTTCATGCCCTTCCAGTTCTCCGTGCAAATTTCATCGCTCGATGGATTCTAGCCTCAGAATTCAGTTCAAGAATGAGCCCATTAGCGATACTCAGGATGAAGGCAGCCAAGGCCATCCCATCCGTGGGGAGAGGGCCACCGAGAGTGCCGTCCGCGACAACGACGATCGCATCTTCACTAACAGCGCCTTGACAGGAACCCCTTTCCATCTGGCATCATTCGAAGAACTCTCCACACAAAGTACCCTTCTTGGATCAGACACACTACATACAGATAGCCCGCTCTTTGATAAATCAGAAGTCTTCTATGAAGTGACAGGGGAAGACCGCCACATCGCTCAGCCCAAACTCGATGCAAAGCTTCATAAAGGCTTCTTCAAAGTCAACGACAAATGGACTACGTACCGCCGCAACTACTTCTCAGTTGGGGTTGCTGTTTCCTTTCCTCAGGACATCCCCAACGGTCTGTATGTACAGCACGGAGGAGAAGAACTCCGGCGAATACACGCCTTTTCCGTGAAGGTTTCGGCGAGTGTTCACGGCAAGGATGGTGAAAGCCGTAGATTGATACAACACGGACCTAAAAGAGTTCGGAACAGTGCCGAAGCACCAGAAGAGATCTGCTGGTTTCCACACACCATTAGTACAACCGGTGAAGAGGCAGCGAGCCGATCCGAAGAATCCAATATCCCCCGCAATGTCGAGTTACCCGAGAACAATGCAGGAGATAGCAGACTTTTTTCTCACACTTTCGAGAGGATACAGTTCGAGAGGGCTACGTTAAACAATGGCAAAAAAGAGTCACGGCAGCAATACTTCAATATCGTGATTGAGCTTAATGCGCAGATCTCGGGAGGGGAGAATAGTCGAGGCTTGCACTGGCTGAGGATCGCCCGAATAACCTCAGAGCCAATCATCGTACGTGGCCGATCGCCAGGTCATTATAAGGATGGAAGGAGAGATAATCATGATTCCATTCGTCATGGTGGCGATGACATGGGCCTAGATAATCTCACGGCATTACCTATAATTCCACTCGGTGAGTGACATACAGAAAGTAGGACCCAACGCTGAAGAGAGAACTAATAAATCAGGCATCCACCTTAAACACGTGAACCCAGTGCTCGACCCTGATCTGTATTTTGGAATATTGGGGGATATTGAGTGGAAAGTTGCACAAATCTGCCCTCTCATCTTGCAGGCAATGTCCTTAGCGACTTGGCCCGAGACGGTTGCCATCCTCATGCGAATACTGAACCATGCCAGGAAGGGGTTAGAGCTCATGAAGCTTGAGCACTTCGCAGAGAACGGGTTCAGTGTTCTCATTGAACAGCCAGATGATAGAGGAATTGTCAAGGCCGTATCATGTGGTAACGAGGTTTTGGACAATCTCATCTCAATTCTCGACCCAAGCACTGGCATACAAAACCCGGATTCAGAGTGCCTAGCCAATATGAATAAAGCAGCGAGCGCTACTTTCGCCCATTTGGGGCTCAAAATATGGCCTGCCAATAGACCGAGTGAGATTATGCTTCAATTCACTGCCTTGGTCTGTATGCTTGGCTTAGGTTTGGTGTCATACTCAGGATCACACGCGTCCGCTTTTCATGAGAAGTATTTGGACTCAGTCACGGATTTCAAATTTCCTTTGTCGGAGGGTATCGACGGTAATTTGTCTATTTTCCTCCGTCAGGTCAATTTGAGCTGCCTTCATGCATATATTGGCGGGCCTGTCTGGGCGTTCTGCCTTGGAGACACAGAAACGGCTGACAAAAGAACATTGGTTATTTCACTCGAATTATTGGCAGACCTCTGGGGTCCATTGAGAATATCATATACCAGCGAAGGCTTGATTCTGGCTATTGCAGTTGAACGGGGGACTATCGTCGGTATAAGACCTCAGGCTGACAGAGAAGACACCGTGAGTTGTCATTGGTTTCAATGGGGTGAGAAGTTGCCCGAATCACCTTTTGCCTTTGAAAAGACAACTCTGCTCGCCATCGGGTCATCATCCGTCACTTCTACACAAAATATGGAGACAGCGCAGTATAATTTCAATCAAATATACGTTGGACTGGGGCCGAAACTGCGGGATACTAGTGAATTAACCTTACTCGGGGTCGAAAGATCGAACTGGGCGGCCGATACCTTAAGTGCAAATGTTGGCTTCTCCAAGTTCGTCAATATGAGCGCTGGAGTGAGTTTCAAGAAAATTCCAGGGCGGTCGATGAAATCTATGCTCTTGTTTCAATGGCAGGATGACTATCCAGATCCGCAAACACTGCAGGTGAGAATGGGGTTAGAGATCAGTGCATTGACTGGAGATGCGCTTCGAATGCCCCTTTGGAGACTGTTCCAGGTGGAGACAATCAGGGACTATGTGAGCCGTGTTTTTCCAGACCATTCATCTCGGCCCACGGACACAATTTCCTTCCTGGACGCATTCAATGATGACTTCCAGCAATTTCTGAAGTCATGGTCCGCAAACGCGGACTTCCGTTCCTCGGCAAGAATCATTATTCGCACTATTCTAGCCAATCTGCAATACACCGGGCCGGCGGAAGGAGGCAATCTCCGTGCATGGTATGTGGAGAACGGCGGATGCTTGCAAATTCAGAAATGTGATCGACACCCCTGGCTTGCGTTGTTACGGGATTCCGAGTATGAATCTTCAGTCGCTCTCATAAGTAATCGGCCCGTCCACTCCGGCCTTTCAACGGCGTCATCAGGGGATCATCCAATGGATGACAGATGGGGCACACTGCTTCATACCAGGATCATTCCGAAGCCCCATCTTCAACAACCGAGGAAATTAAATCTTAAGGGTAAGACAAGACATAGTTCACAGTCGTCCAATAGTCAAGGTAAGCAGGATATTTGTGCGTTGCAATGAGGAATGATTAAAGAAGTAACGAGCTTGTAGCACCATTGTACGAGCCAACACCACCAGGCCGTCACCTCAGAAGTAATCCCCGCGGACTTGAACTAATGCCCTACGGATCAGCGCTTAGTGAAAGCATGTGCTTAGATCGCACAAGCCACGCAGCCAATGCAGTTCTAATGCACACACTGAAGAGGGCAATGGAACAGCCAATCCTGGCCACTTTGAGAAAGGTTGTAAATGGATACGCCGCCCTCGAGCTCTCGGAGGTCCCATCTCGCGACGGTAAGCCCAATATACTTCAGCTCAAGTCTTCTCGCTTGAGTGGGATTCTTCCCTTGAGGTATACAGACTCCAAGGCCAGCATGCTCTACAAGGAAGCTACAGGGTACGACCAACATGGTTCTATCGAGGTTTATATTATATAAACTCAGATCATGCGCGAGTGCGGCCGTGGATGAACGAGCGTACTTATCCTGCGTTGCCTACCGAGAATCTTCCAATGGTAGTATCCCACGTTTCATGCGTCTTAGCAAATTGATCCTTCGCAAATTTATAAGCCATACCCTTCCCACCCGGAGCCAGTATCCTTACCATCACTCGTATTTCCAGTGTACGACGCAAGACGCCATCAAAGGGCCAAATCACCGTCTATCTAGCATTGCATCCATGGTTTGATGCAAGAGGATAAATGCAAACAACTAACATGAATCGACCCAACATACATCCGATTGGAGTGGGCCTCCTCGAACTTCCCACAGAGCTCCTGCTCTACATGGCCGATTATCTCCCCAGCCAGGGGGACCTAAACGCCCTCATCCAAACCAACCAGCAACTCTACCACATGCTCCAGGCTTGTCTCTACCACCACAATGTGAAGTACCACCACAGCGTCGCGCTCCTATGGGCTGCCGCGCGGAATCGGGCCGACATGATGCAGGCCATCCTCGCGATCCCAGGCTGTAATCCCAACATCCGCTGCCCCTCCTCATTCCAGACTTCCTTGATTATCGCCGCGCGGCATGGCCACGCCGAAGTCGTCCGCTTACTACTCGACAGGTCCTCCGTGGATGTCAACGCGCAGGACGATAACGGCGACACAGCGTTAGCGGCGGCCGCCAGTGCAGGGTATATCGTCATCGTGAGGCTCCTGCTGCGCGACGCGCGTGTGGATGTAAATCGCGAGGACTGGGACGGCCGGACACCTCTTGCCCAGGCAGCAATTGCGGGTTCGACGGAGGTGGTCCGGCTTTTGCTGGAGGAAGAGGCAATCGAGCCCGATGCACCGGATTCTGAGAACTGGACGCCGCTGGCTTTCGCGGCAGCAGGGGGACATATCGAGATTGTGCGGTGCTTGCTTCAGCTTCCGTCACGGGTGAATGCGAATGTCCGGGACTGGGATGGGGCGACTCCGCTTATGTGGGCGGCGCGGCGCGGTGCGGCGGCCGCGGTGGAGCTGCTGCTTAGCTGTGAGGATGTAGATGTCACAATAAGGGATGAGGAGGGGCGAACAGCGTTGATGTGGGCGGTGGAGACTGGGCATCAAGAGCTGGTGCCGCTTTTTGATGCCTACGCGGGTTATAAGAGCGTACGGGTCGATGAACCAGGGGATGGCTTTTGCGGCCAGCAGGAGAATCATTGTAAGAGTCTCGTCCCCCAAAATTGCTAGCATCAGGGCATGGAGAAAGATGTCCCTTGATATAGTATGGTTAATCAGTGGGACCCGTTATATTGACTCCAATTGAATTGGACATATATACCGGGTACGTCTGGAGGCGGGAAGTCATCCCCTTGTAAGTATATCATTCTTCACAAAAGGACAAGACATTGAAGTACAAATCTCTTGGTTAAGAGTCTTACATTGAGGAATAATCATAAATATCAATTCATATCAGGTCATTTTGTACCCATATGGTCTTTACTCATGCAATTGAACTTACATTCGGTCAGGTATAATTTTGAGTCGCAATATGACCCATATGGGAATGCGTCCAGCCTGTCAGCTCTTCGTCCAGATTCTTCACTCATGAAATCAACATCTGTTTAATTTCAGTATATATATTGAAACAATTCTAGATTCTATCGACGATCAGTAGTAACAATTGAATCAGACCTCATCTCCCATTAAAGGATTCATCATCACCAGCTCCTTCATGAGAAGCCCTCTCAAAACCACTCATAGCGACGTCGAGTTTCAAGTCTTGGCGAGACACTACGCTCTTGAGGACTGTTAGTGCTAGATTCCTCGAAGGTATATTGTTAGAAAGATGGATACCTCTTCAACTGTATCTTCCATAATATACCGAGTGATCACCACCGGTCGCTTTTGCCCGAGACGAACAACGCGCCCGATTGCCTGCTGCTCGACCGTTGGATTCCACGATGGTTCCATGATATGCACCCGTGTGGCGATGGAGAGATTCAGTCTGCTTGAATATCAGCAATCTTGCACGTAAGGACAGCTTAGGAAGATGAATACATACCCAACCGCACCGGTGCCAATAGTCATCAAAAGAATATTCACGTGACTGCTCGTTTTGAAGCTATGGAAGGCCTGCTGACGTTGCGAAAACGACATGGAACCGTCTACTCGGGCAAAGGTAATGTCGTGCTGGCGTAGCAGCTCAGCCATGATGTCGAGGCTCTTGGTCCAGGCTGAGAAGACAATTCTATAAAAGAGGTTAGCGTAGCTACACAGATGGATAGAGACTTAGCTATACCCTTTCTCTTGCGGAATATGGCCAAGGATAGTCTTCAAAATGGCACGATGTTTTGTTGAGAACATCCCTTCGAGAGTTTGCGGAGATTGATCGACCAGAGATAAGTACTCCGGGGTCAGAGATTCCCGAAATAGATGAGGAGTGTGCAATAGCTCGGACGCAGGACTTTCTATTTTTGCCAGGTCCAGGATATTACTGATTTGTAGGGACATTCTGCAAGGTTCGCCGATCGAATAAGAGGATTCAGGAGAAGATTTAGAGTCTGAGAACTTGTATGAGCCAAGAGCCAGAGTTTCACTGTCAATACCAGGAGACTGAGATCCATGGTTCTCTTGCAGAAATTTCAAGTACTCTTCAGAAGTAAGGAGATCGGTAGGGGAGGCTCGGATGTCCTTCTTTCTGTAGAGCCCGTTATTGCAGAATATTCGCAGCTGCAGAACTGTTTGGAACGCACCCGCGGAGCCCACTTTGCTGACTGAGATATCAATGAGTCGATTGTGATAGTCCAGTATATTATTGTATGCTTCCCTTTCTTCGGGAGCCAGGTTCAACTTTAGATTGTTGATCGTTGGTTCCGCAAGCATACCAAGGCTCATAGTTCGACGAAGGCATATACAACTAAGCAATAAGCGAAGGTTTTCAAAGCGATTGCCACCTATGTTGTTGGTTTGATAGACAATGTGTTTCCGGAAAACTTCTCGTTCTTCAAGTAGAGGGACACGAAGGAAAGACACCAGAGCACCAAGATCATCGAGATCATTCTGTATTGGGGTCCCAGTGAGACACCAGCGTCTGTCTGCTGAAATATTACATGCCGCTTCATGGATCCTCGTGGACCTCGATTTTATGTGGTGTGCTACACTTTGTTTGTTATCAACGATCTTTATGCGGTTTAGTTATTACAATCGTACCTTCATCCAAAACGATGCGAAAGAAGGTTGTTCGGAATATTGGACTTTCCTTCTCAGTAAACTCCGTACTGATAGTTCCGTATGTTGTCAACACAATATCGTAGTCCTCGAAGGTGGGGAAATGGACTTTGCGCGAGGCACCGTGGTATTTGCAGGTTTTGAAAGTTCCCGGCTTGAATTTACTTATGAAAATTAGAACTATACTCAATGAAGCTCATTGGGGATCTGTGGAAAACCTACTCGCGGATCTCATCGAGCCATTGTTCCATCAACGCTTGGATAGTAAGAACGAGCATCTTGAATTGTGTATCAGGGTCGCATCTCACCTTCATTTGGGACAACAACCATTGTGGCTGCTACTGTTCTTAGACCAGCCGACCAAGGCGTGCCCCTTCTCTTGCCCCATTCTTTCGCGTGAAGAAGAGTGCTGGCAATGGTTGACAACGTTGTCACTGTTTTACCAAGGCCCATCGTATCCGCAATGATGCCACCCAAGGGGCCAACTGGGACCTCTAGAGCGGAATCACCGGTGATTGCATGATAATGGCTGGTGGAGATCAAATCAGCATACCAGCATGAAATAGCTCCTACTAAGCCTTCTTACCAAAGATTGCTGTAATTGTCCATCTGAGCATCCCAGAGGGATATGGAAGATGTTGATCGACCCGTTTCTCGGCGTATCATAAAATCGATGCCTTCTTTCTGGTGGCTGCATAGTATGTTAATCGGGAGAAAGTGCCAACAAAGTCTTTATAAATACACACGCAAAAAGTGGAATAATCAGGTGCTCATCGGGCTGAACTTGCTCAAGGTAGTCGTGCTCGTGCAAATTGTCAAGTAGATTCTGCAACCTTCTCTTTGAGATTTTGGCGGAAGTAGGTACAGGTTCATCGATAGTAAGGCAATCGTAGTCATCTAAATCAGATGCTTCGCTATCAAGCTCCTCAACACTCATGAATGGGAATTTATGAGGGTTTTCATATTGAATATCACAATAGGTTGTCGGGTCTTGAAGGAATAATGCTTGAGATGATAAGCAATCACCAACAAGCAGAGCATTCTTCCGTGATCCAAAAATAGTGATCTCGACACTTGTTTCCCAGGATTTCGAAGTGTTGTATTGTGTCATACATTTCCACTCTGAATGTAGAAGAGAGATTGTCAGTCGTGTGTCTTCAATTTCGAATAAATCCTTCAGAGCGTTGGAAACTCCCAAATTGACGAAGCCTATTATATCATCTGCCAATGGAGAGTATATTACACAGTTCTCAGAACCCAAAAGAATCTCAAGATGATGAGTCGATTCCTTGTTATCTCCATGTGCGTTTGATAAGGAGGAGTTGCAACCTGCAGGTGGGCCAGTGAGGAATTGCGCATGAATGTTGCAAATCTATTTTGGTAAGCAAATGGATCAAAAGGAAACCGGTGTAGGCACGTACAGATCCAAAGCAAATTATTGTATTGTTTGCATTTACTACGGAGCCGTCTGGCTGTTGGCTAGGATTGTACTTGCCGTTTGTTCGATCGCTTTCTTCGCGATGGACCTGTTCCTGTTTGACTTTGCGGGCTTTGGAAGAGTCCGGACCATCACAGAAGCCCCCGACTCCGTCAGCGGGGTATTTCCTCTTGATGCCGCCAACAGCCCGATTTTCTGCCATGTCTCGCCCTCGTTATAACAGAACAAACACTCCACTATCATAGACAGCCTTCTCCCGTGCGCTGTGTACGAAGACGAATTCTCGCGGGTTCTGCTCATGAGGGAACTACCCGTAAGATGTTGATCTCAGGAGATTTCTGGCGCTAGCCGCTTGACGCATCAGCTGCACTGCCACATCGCTGCCCGGTCGGCCACGGGCCATCCGCCATGCCATCACAGCCTTGTCGCGATTGAAGACAGAGAGGCCTGACGTGTCTTTCTACCAGCCAAGAGACGATAAAAGACATGGCGACGGAAAAAGTCACCAGCTTTCAGCTGGCCCTGGATTCATTCAAGTCTCAGTCAGGGCCTATCCTTGTGCGGGAATTCGAGATGACATCTTTGGCAGCTCTTAAACGCTCAATCGCCAAGATCGAAAGGAAACAAGCCACAGAAAGACGCCTGCAAAATATGCGACGACTCTCTAAGTTTGTTGATATAATGGAGAGACATGGTGAAGTTATAGAGACCTTGCTGAACACGACTAATCTTCTGGGATTTGTTTGGGTACTCCCCAGCCCGTTATGATCCGATGCGTTGATACTGGCTTACATGTTCGAACAGGGGCCAATGAAGTTTCTATTACAGGTATTGCCCAATCTGGATCTCTATGCTTCCAGCTCCTAATATTCTGCAGGTTGCGAGTTCTGTATCTGAAGCTTTCAACGAGCTCTTGGATACTTATAAAGTCATCGGAGAAAGCCTAGAGCTTCTAGAAAGTTGCAATGGACTCATTGATGGAAACCCTCTAGTTCAACGAGCTGTGGAGTCTATGTTTCATGACATTCTGGAGTTTCACAAAACTGCGGTTGCTTACTTCAGGAAGCCAAGTGAGTGATGTGCCATTGGAGGCATTCGAGTACATAATATTGATCTCACCAAGTGTGGAAACAGGTCTTTCAGGCTACCTGGTCCACCTATAAGGCAAAGTTCGGACCGGTTGTCGACAGTTTGAAACGCCACAGACAGGTCTTTGGGGATAGGCTCACTTTTGCGCAACTCGAAGAGATCCGCGTAGAAGGGATCAGATCCGCCGATGCACTTAAGAAGTTGCGAAAAGACGAGACAATGCGCCAGTTGAGAGATATTCAATGCTGGCTGAATAGCGCAGACGTTGCAAGTGATCAAGAATCTTTCAGGAGTGTGCGAAATTGCAATACTCAAGCCGGAACTTGGATTTTGCGTCACAAGATTTATTGTGCGTGGAAGGAAAGAAATGCGCAGCGGATGCTCTGGGTGAACGGTATCCCAGGCGCTGGTATTATCCTAATGTCTATAATCGGAAGAGGTCTCCACTAATTCATCATGCTGCAGGAAAGACTATCTTGACATCCCTAATGGTCGAAGATTGTCTCAAATGCTATCAATCTACGATTTGGTTCTATTTCAGGCATGGCGATTCGCAACGAAGCTCCTTCCTTAGCTTTGCTGCCAGTGTTGTGGCACAGCTGCTAGACAAAAACGGCGATCTGATACCTTATGTCTTCGAAGAGATGTGTCGCAAAGGCAAGCGCGCATTTTCATCAGAAATGATAGCCAAAGAGCTACTCGAGGTAATGATGAGAAATTCGGGACAAGTTTGCATTATCCTCGATGGTCTTGATGAGTGCAGTAAGATAGAAAGGAAGAAGATCCTTCAATGGATCCGCCTCATGAGCGAGCATCCACAGAATCGTGATAGTTCAGATTCCACGATATGTATTCTTGTGTCACAAAGGGACGCGATCACCTCCAAGACTTTACGTGATATTCCAAGCTTGGAAATCACTTCGAAGGATACGCGAGACGACATCTATACATATATAAGGTCCCGAGGCTCAGAGGTGCAAAAGAAATTTCAACTCAATGACGAAAGCACAAAAGCGATGGTTGAGCTTGTCATGGAAAAGGCGGGCGGTAGGTTACGAATATGCTATGTGAGAAATCAAATGGTTCTTTCTGATAGAAGTGTTTCTAAGGGATGTTTCTTCTCGCGAAGCTTGTTATGAACAACCTTTACTGTCAAGTCTCACCTGGTGATCTGTATAAAGAGCTGAACACGAAAGAAATACCAACTCAACTTGACCAAGCGTGAGTCTTGTCCCTTGATATTCAGTTGATCTTTCAGGCTGAACCGTGCTGGGGTATGCAGATACGAGCGGATATTGAACAATATCCTTGAAGAACAGGCTTCACGAAATCATGCAGTTCAGCTTCTCGGCTGGCTAGTGTGCGCAAAACGGAGACTCCAATGGCGAGAGATACAGGGCGCGGTTTCAATTGACCTTGAAGCCGAAGATGTTGACTTTGAAGGTCGCCAATGGATCCTTGATTCTAGAGACCTATGCGATTCGCTTGTCGAAGTCAAGACCGATGGTTCTCTTGAACTTGTTCATGCAACTGCAAAGCTGTAAGTCCACATTCTAAGCTGGAAGGCTGCCGCCACCCTGTTTAGCTTCTCTAAATCCGCTTCCTTATTTTCTGACATTATTGGGCCTTAGGTTCCTTATTCGAACAAATTTCATTGATGTCAGACAAGTGGAGCTGAGGATGGCTTCTCTCTGCATGGGCTACCTAGCTCTACCCGGGTTTGAGACATTCCTGCCAGACGAGTCTGTTGCAGACCTCATAAACACTGGATATTACACATTCCTAGACTACGCAGTATGCTTCTGGTCATCCCATCTCCAGGAGGGCCTCAAGCGCACCATAGATCGGCAGGACGCTATGATGCTGATTGAAGTTCTTTCGAAATTTCTAGAGTCGCACTACCGACATCCCGCAAAAGAAATCAACATTCCCTCTTCTGCATATGAGGTAAAGAGGCGGATTGAAGAACACGGACCCTGGTCTACATCGGAGAAATTCCTTAACGCCTTCGCCTCAACGCAGAATCAAATAAGCTGTTTCACTCAAGACGCAGCAACCAATGAATGTCTCGACATACCTGATGTTATCACTCGCATCAGGAAAATTCTAGAGAAAACCGCCTCAGAAAATACGGCCAATGGGAGAGCTGATAGCAGAGTACTCTATTCCTTCTACGGCCACCGTCTCTATAAATGCCCCAGAATGAGCTGCGAGTTCTTTCATCAAGGATTCGAGACTGTCCAGCAAAGAGAATCTCATTTGAGCAAGCACGATAGAGCTTTTGAATGCTCCTTTCCTCAATGTTACAGAGCTACTATTGGGTTCAGCTCAAAGAGGCAACTCGAAAAACATATCGCGGATACTCATGAGAAAAAGGCAAGGGAAATGCACTCTTTCCCTTCCAAGCGAGCGAGGATCGCTTTAGTGTGCAGATTCTGCAAAGAAGAATTCCAGGACACGAGAGCATACCGCATGCATAACTGCACACGTTCCTCTCCAAAGCGGCCACAGAACGTCAAAATGACGGACAAGTCTTCGACCCGAGCACTAAAAGCCACGACAGGCGAACCCAATTCGGCAAATTCACATTGGCAGGATCCCGGCTTGCTTACCATCGACGAAATCGAGAATATGCCACACCTGGGTAAGCAGGAGAAAGGAGCACATAAGGAGCTCGTGCGAAACCTGTGGAAAATTCTTAATGATAGTGATCGCCCGAGCCAAGAGTACGAGACGGCACACACCAGGATGACACTTTTGTCGCAACGACTCAGGGATGTTCAGCAAGCATATCAGGAACCTCAGCTAGCGCTTCAACAACAGGAGCAAACTCATGATACCCAAGTTGAGCAGCAAGCCGAATGGATTCCGTGGAACAAGGTGCAGCATTTCAGTCAGCTACTGTCTTCAATTCAGGAAAGAGTTTTGGGGCTCGCTTTCTACGCCCCACCTGATATGGCAAACGAGCTAGTCGAGAACTGGGTTGCTGAGGCCCGATTACGATATGGAAAAGCACTACAGAAGCAGGAAGAAGCACAAATTCAGATGTCAGAGTTCGACGAGGAAATTGAGAGGCGCGACATGTCAAGAGAAGAGATACAAGGATATGTGGACAGAAGGCGAGCAATAGCGAGAATATCTGAAGAAGGTCAGGAGTACGTGCAGAGATTTACACAGCAGCAAGAGACGTTCAAGGCCCTTTGGCGGAAAAAGGTTGAGTCGGGAGAGATTGTCTTTATGCCTTCAGAATAGCTCGCTTGGTGGCGACCTTGGCGACTGAACCCGTGTTATAAGTGTAGTTCGCAGGTAGATACAATGATCGATCAATACCCCTTCCAATCAAGACTGCGACATAAACGTACGAATAAGCCCTTTCAGGCTCATCAGATCCGAATCGTAGATTGCTCCAACGCAGACAGCGGGGATCTCAGTTCGATTTCGCCAAACCATAGCGATGGCGAGAAAGTGATTGCGACGTTTCTAAAAACTTGTGGTCGGGCGGGCTTATCATTATCAACGTCAAGTGTCTAGATGACAGGTGAAGAAACCTGACAGTAGAAGAAATTATAATGATCATGCTTGTTGAATTGTTTTTCCATTTTTAAATTTAATGTTTATTTTTCCCAACTGGAAAACAAGATAAAAGATAAAGAAAAATCAAAGATAAAGGGAAAACACCTTTCAGACCTCCTCGACACCCACCAAGTCCGACCGACCGAAGTCAAGACATCATGACAAGGTAAAGATCATCACCACTCCCTGGACCATCGCAACGACACCCGAAACAAGTCCATCTGACGACAGATCGTAACAGAGCGTGCAAATGCGAAGTCGAGTCGGAAGTAAAAAACGGCTTCACTTTAGGGCATCGAGGACATAGCAGTCATCAGCAAGGGTGGAGATTCTGTGGCTCTTTAGAAGAGCTCAGAGGTGGGACGTCTACTCTAAAGTGATTCTTTGAACTGTAGGCAAAAAGGTGGTTAGCAAATAAGTCTTCAGTGGGATCATCCCAATGTAGGGGGGAGGGACACTAACGTAGAGTCGCTTGATTTTCAAAATCTTTGGGGGGGAAGCCGCCTTTTATACCTTGCCGGTGGGTCCTCGCTTGCGCTA